TTAGGCGGGATGGGGACTATGCACCAACACTCAGGCAGTATGCTCCCTCTGGGGCTCTGATTTTATACCTCCCGCTCCCCGCCAGCTCAAAACCTGGGATAGTGGAGCTAAGGCAGAGATCTTGCCTGCCTGTTTCCCAGCGTGTAAAAGGGGAATATGTACTCTTCCCAAGGTAGTTCTGAGCGACAACACCCTCGGGTGCTTGGTTCCCAGAGCAACAGGAAACATATCTGCGTGGGGGCAACGGACGTGATCCCATAGGGGTTCTGCAGAGGCCTCGACTGAAGGGCTGGACCAAGGAGATAAAATTTGAGCTGCGGGCCTTGAAGTGTTAGAGAAGGGTGCAGAGGCAGGACTGCTGCCTGTTTCGGGGTGCCGCCGGAGGTAAAGCTTATTCTCTCCATCTCTGCTACTCCCCTCCCCTCTCCAGATCCCTCCGTTCTCTCTGCACCTCCTGTCCATCTATCTCCCTCCACTTTTCCCCTCCTCCCTTCCTCGTCCCATTTTCTCCCTCCCTCACTTCCCCAGCTTCTCTCGCAGAAACCAGAGGGTCGCTGGCACGACTGCGCATGCGTACTCGGTGCCAGCTGGACCGCGGGTTGGAAGCTCCAGCTCAGAGCCGGGGATCGGCCCCAAAGGCTTCTCAGTTCTGTCGCCCTTTAGGCCTTTGGCTTCTGCCCGGGGCCGGGACCTCCGGCTGTGGAAGTGCAAGGTAGGGGCTCCCGGGAAATGTTCAGGCTGCTGGGGGAGTGTGGTCCGCGTGTCACAGCCCGCGATGGAGCGAGTCAACGTGTGTTCAGCTGAATTGCTCGGGCCAGGCCCCTCTGCCCCAGCGCCTCGGTCACACCTGTCCAGGGCCAGGTGTGCACCTGCCGCCTCTCGCCCCAGCCGGGCTCCCCTCAGTCCGCGGCTGGCGTCCCCTTCCCCTCTCCCGCCTGCGAGAACTCTCCTCCCGGGCTTCCTCTCCTCGGCCGCCGACCCGTCCCCACACCTGGGGGGGGCTGTGTCCCGCGCGGGCCGGTTCTGCGGACCCGGACGGGGGCGGGCGGCTGGGGCTGGCCTCCGAGCGGGGCTGCCGCACGCGTCCCCCACCCAGCTCTCCCTGCCCCACGACCCCGGGGCTGCCCTCCTCTCCCTTTCCTGCTCCCTGCGGACCAGGTCAGTGGCGTGGGCGCTGCTCCCCGGGCTGAGAGCCTCAGGTTGTAAATACCAGCCTCTCCTGGTGGAGTTGGCAAAAGGGAGCGTCAGTGCT